ATATATGCGTCATGTCGATGAGGGCATGTGAGGATTCCAAACAACCCTTCTCGTGAGAGAAATCATTTAAATGCAAGGGTTATAGTTCATCATTGTATAACTCAACGGCTATCTATAAGAACAGCCAACAGAGAGGCGAGACAGTAGGGGCCCATCGCGGGCGTCATCAGTACGTTTAGCGTTGAAACAAGGGGGGACTGTAGAGGTCACAAAATCACCAACGAAGTGCCGGACATGAGACCGAGATAGGCAGAGTTCATTGAAAAGGGGGGTGAGAACGGACTAATCCGCCACGATCATCAGCAGTCCGTTGCGTGTCAACATAAGGGAGGGCGTGTGGGCTATGACTAAAAGGTGTAGTGACGGATGAAGTCGTCGCAAATCGCATAGGGTCGAATAGAAGAGACCGTGAAGACAATCGTCTGAGCCAGAAGATTCATGCTTGACCGAGGAATTCAAAGCAGATGAACACATCGGTGTGGTCGACATTCGCAATGATGTTTGAAAAGAGAAGAACGAAAACGCCTGCGAAGATTATGGGTTTTGGAACCAATTATTATGAAGAAAACCACTTTAAATTCTAGCAGGACCCCTGTAAAGTCCAACAGCTGTGTGTATGAGAATTAAATGGTTTGAAATTCTCCACGTGCCTTCTTCAGCAAAATTCCTGTCTGGCCTACGCATGATTTATTCCCTCTTACAAAATCTGTCCCCCTTCCTCTTAGCCGCGTGTCAGCGTTCACTTCCTTCGTCGAATATTGCTACCCTCCCCCGTTGACCCTTTTTATTCGATTGCACAATAATATCTAAATCAGCCTCCAGCAAAGTGGCTCTTGAATAAAGCTGCGTTGCTGTTTATTACTTTTCCCACAAGGATGTCGCCCCCACTGCCACAAGAGAAAACTTTTTCGACTCGCTGAAATGAAGAACCATGACTGACTTTGTGGTGGATAGGCAACGATGCTGTCCGCCCCGGCCCTTTCTTGTTCGATTACAGCTGTCTTGCTTGGCTGACTAAAACGCCGCTTTACCCAGTTTTCCCTTCGCGAGTAATATAACTGCGACTGCTCCGAGTGGCACTTGAATACGTCACCTCCTCCCTTCTCGGGCCTTCACGGGAAAGCGGAATTGAGGCAGCAGCTCTTGAGCTTGGTTGAATTGAATACCCCTTTCCTGCTGACAGATTATATTACATCTGTACACTAAAACTTCCTCCTTTCGTGCACTATTTCAGGCCAATCGGATGCCAGGTGAACTGCCTCCTGAAGTTATATAATTGCAAACGTCACCCCCTCTCCCATGGACAAATAACCGCTCTCCCATGACTGGTTTTTTCCAGTGTGGGGGTGTTGAACGTGCGTTGTTCTCTTATCTAGATTCAGGCAATTTCGTCAACTTTCTTTGTTCTTTACTGTGTGTATCCATTGTTGAGTATCGTACTATCTTGATAGTTGTAATAATTGTGATAGCAGGGAACGCGTTACTGTTGGATACAGAGTCAGTAGGGTCAAGAACACGAACCATTACTTAACAACGATACTACGTTGACACTGATCGTCACTACTCAACAAGGTACAGAGTATTTGACATGACAAGCTAGTATTTAATAAAGAGACTACGTTGGCCGGATCGACGGTATTTGAGAGAAATGACGTATTTGTCACAGGACGACTTGTCACGGATGCTCACGGAAGAGGAACAAAACGAATATGGTCAAAGAGAATACAAGCCTTCTGACATTCACGTCAGCGTTTGTAAGTTAAACTCTGATAGGTGCTATAGTCACCAGTATAATGTAGATTTAACGGCTTTTAACATTTCTCAGTTCCACACGAAAAGTTCTAAGCGAAATTTGGAGCTAGATAGACGCTAAGCTGACCTAGA